TGATTGATGATAGTTTCATGGGTCAAACTTGTCATATTGCAAACTTCAGCTATATGTAGTTTATCTTGTGTCTATTTTTCAACAAAGCTGAGTAAAAAAGTTTAAAACATTATACACTGTTCTGCCACCTGGCTTTTTTTAAACACTTAATATGCTTGTTGATTTTATCTTTTAAATACACAAATCTTCCTCCTCCTTTTTATAGCTACCTAGGATTCTATAATGCATATTAAACACATGCATTATAGTCATTTTACAATTCTCCTGTTGATGTCAATTTACAAACAATACATTGGAAAACCTCTTACAAACATGTTTCATATACAAGCATATTTATAGGATATATTTCTAGAAGTAAAATTGTTTAAATAAATTTCCTTTTGAAATAAATACATTTCCTTTTGAAATAAATGTTTACTTCAAAAGGAAATGTATTTAAAAGTCTGACTGCTATTGCCAAAGTCATCAGTCAGTTTTCAGTGCAGGAAACAGAACTATTCTAGGTATCTTAAATGGGAAGGCACTTTTAAGGAATTTGATGTTTACAAAGTCTTTGGGAGAGCTGTAGGGGAAGAAGGGTCTAGGAATCTGGATTGAGCTCCCCAGAATACAATCCAACCAGGACACTGATTCACTAGGGGTGCTTCTGCCCCGGGCTCATCACCAAGCCATGCTGGAAGCTGGAGGCCACCACAACCTCACACACCTGGGAGACTGGAGAAAGAGCTGATAACCACAATTGAGGAACATGTCAGGTTAAGAAGCTGCGGCCACCTCCACCACTCCTCCACATTCGGAAGTCAGAGCATGAACATTTGGTGGCTGCTGCCCTGGAAACATGTTCCCATAACAATAATAAAAAAAAAATTTTAAATAAGAATAAATCACCAGCTATTGATTTCTAAGAAAAGAGACATTTTCCCACAACACTGCGATATTCAAGAACCTCAAGAAGATGCCCTATGCCTCACTTCTCTTTTCAAATCAGATGGAAAACATATCGTTGAGAAAATTTCATGTTTCCAGAACTCTAGCTTTACAGTGAGTTCTGGGAAATGTATTGATTTCCAGCCTCTCTAACTAGGAACATAAATCCAAGGGTGAGAAAATCCAAAATATACAGTTCACCATCCTTAGTGGTTGTTCCAATAGATACTTCTACCAGTAAAAACAGTTGCTTCCTAATTCTTACCAATAATCTCTAGCCCTGACTGGTGTGGCCCAGTTGTTGAGCATCGTCCTGCAAACCAACAGGTCATCCACAGGTCTGATTACCGATCAGGGCATATGCCTGGGTTGCAGGTTCGGTCCCTGGTTGGGGTACATGTGAGAGGCAATGGATTGATGTTTCTTTCTCACACTGATGTTTCTCTCCCTGTTTTTCTCCCTCCCTTCCTTCTCTCTAAAAATAAATAAAATCTTTAAAAAATAATTATCTAGAACACAATGCAATGTTCTATAAAATTTAAAAAATCTTGATCAAATAGATTTAAAAAACTAGTATCTCAGTACAGTTTTATTTCGATTTCTCATAATAGTGAAGTTGAACTTTTTTTTTTTAGTTTGAGTCATTAGTACCCTTCTCTGTAAAAACTCTATAGTTTTACATCTTTTTCCTTTTGGGCTATTGAACTTTTCCTCATTGAATTACAGATGTTCTTTTTATATTAAGCAATGCATGATAGAAATCACAAAATATTTTTCCAAACTTGTCATTCTTCTTTATTTTATGGTGGTTTTTGCTATGAAGTATGTATTTGTGATATAGTTTATCATAATGTTATAGTAAAAATATTTTTTTATTTTTGCATGTTTTCATTGACTTTAGAAATGCCTTCACCACACTAAAATCTTTTAAGATTCTCCCACGATTTTTTCAAGTACTTTAAAACACTTCAGCATTCCCATTTAAAACTGGATTTTATTTTGGTATAAGGTATGAATACAACTTAACTTTTTCCTACAAAAAGCTGCATAGGTATCCTAACACCTTCTAATGAGTAAACCATATTCTCCCCAATGAACTGAAATATCTTTATCTCTTGTACTAAATTCCTTTTAATTCTGTTCTAGTGACCTGTCTACCTCTATGCCAGGATAAAACTGTTTTAATTATTGGAGTTTTCTATTTTAATATTTAATAAGACTCATCTACCCTCTGCTTTTTCAGAGCTTTCCTGGCTAGTCTTGTTTTCCACAGGAACTTTGCAATCAGCTTTCCAGTTTTGAAAAATCCTGATATTTTTATTGGGAGTGCACTACATTTATAGATTAATTTATAAAGAACTGGCATGTACACAATTTAAGTGTTTCTGTCCAAGAATATATGCCTTTCCATGTTTGAGCTTTCTCTTCAGAAGTTTTCTTTTTGTGTTTTGCATATTGTTTATTTCTATTTTCTCTCCTTTGTTCTTAAAAGGGGCCTCTTCTTCCATTATGTCTTCTAACTGGCTGTTGTTTATGTCAATGAAAGCTTTTAATTTATGTGACTAACTTTATACCCAGCAATTTTATTAGTTTTAGGATACTTCCAGCTGACTCTCTTAAGCTTTGCATTGTCTCCTACAAATACTAAGATTATACCTCATCCTCCATTTCTAATGTCTGTACTCTAACTCTCTGCCTGGGTGTTTAAGGTCCTTGAGGACATGAGTAGTACATTTTTTATACCTTTCAGAGCACCAGTAAAATGCTCTGCATTGAATGGTCCATAATTAACCTCTATTATGAAAATAGAAACACAAAGTGCCTGCTAAATTATCTGCTAGTTCATTTATTCGACAATTTTGTCAGGTCCTACTAGTTTTCTTCCTGTCCATTCATAGCATCTAATTCTTTTCTCCTCTCACAATGAAATCTTTTAAGTGTCATATATATAGTGTGCAACAAAGCAGGCCCTTTCGTTTGTAAGTTTGTCCCTTAGATTTACATATGAAATTGCAATAAAATGAAAACTTTTTAGTCTCAGATTCGCTTAAACAATCTTGGTGATATTCATGCATTGTCCTTATCAGTTTTCCTAAAGCTACATATGATTTTATTTTTAAAATATACACACTAGGTATAATGTGGGGAGAAATTCAAACCAAACATGTTTACATGCATGAAACAGATTAAATTCTCTAAGCTATACAAGAAAGCCTGTCGTCTTACTTTAGGATCTTTTGTTAAGATATTTGCAAACTATATGAGTTAACTACATGGGGAAGATAAATTGGCCACATGCCATCTGAAAATCTGAAAAATACTACATCAGACGTTTCAATTGATAAAGCATGTTTCTTCTCCAGGCCTTTTACCAGCATGGTAAAAAATAAGTTCTAACTTCTACGTTAAGCTTCCATAAAGTGAAGTTAAGTTAGTTACAGTTGTGTGCTAGAGTGAAATAAGATGAAAATTCAGGAAAGTACGAACAAAACGCAGCTCTTCAAACTGCCCAGAAACATGGATAAATATCTGTAGATCTTCCTCACAGGGCCACAAGACATGTCCCCCATCCTAACTCCAACACTTGTCTCGAACCTCATAATGAGGTACTTGCACTGCTTCAGTAACTAATTCCTCCTTGGCCTTAGGTTGCACCTTAGCCCCTTGGATCTACTGACTGTGTATGTACCACACTCCCAACTCTTACCAAAGACCAACAAAGCAGACAGCTGAAATTGAGAGGTCTAACAAATGAGTTTGTAACGGCAGGATGTAAATCCTGCCCACAATACTCAAATGAAAACAGTGCAATTACTTTTTATTTATTTGGATAAACGGACTTGTCTACAAGGCTAATTAGAGTAGTGACAACCTGAGGTTACAATTTAAGATAATTTCATGTTTTTTTTTCTCTTTTCTGTCCATTTGCTGTTTCTCACTTGGGGTACCCCATCAGGCACTTGCAGAGGTTCCTTTGAGCAGTTCTTGGTATATATGTTAAAATGGCATAAAATTCATTTGAGTTCATGTGGTGTGAGGATTTGCTTTGAATATCCCATTAAATACAATGCAAAACAACCAGAAACCAAAAACAAAACAGCAAAATTATCCTGAAAAATTGAAGCAGCTAAAAACTTAACACATTTTTCTAAAAATGTTTGTCAAATATTAAGAATTTTGGGACACTAACTTCTACCCAGTTTTCAACATTAGGGCAACAATGGTGAACAGCTCAAGTTCCAGTGTTCTCCAAAAGATGGTAAGGGAATTCAGGAGAGCATTAGCAAAAACTGTGACTATAAAAAATTTTGAAATCATACAAGTGCAAGGTAGCAGGAAGTACCGGTGTAATTAATTTACTGATAAAAGAGAAAGACAACTGAGGGAGGAGGGGAGCGCTGACTCTGGAAAAGATATTAGTTAACCCTGGTAAGTAAAGGTCGTAGAACTGATCTCAACCTTCCCTAATGATGTTAGAGCTGACTTTAAAATAATGTCAGCATAAGGCATTATTAGGCTGATACTCCAAAAATTCCTCATTATGATTAAATACAAGCTTCTTCCTTTTTATAAAAAGCAGTGCTTGGCTTAGACCTGCTTTGTTTCTTTAGCTCCACTACAAATACTTTGATCCTTTGACAATTTACCTTGGATTTTTGGCTATTAATACTGCCAATCCCATATCAATTTTTGTTTAATTGTACCCACCCATATTCCCACGATTTGCTATCAGTAAAAACAGATAAAAGTCATTATCAGATTGTATAAAGCTCTCCATCAACACTACACTTTATCTCTTAGTTCTGCATTTAAGGAACTCCCCTCAATTTCTTATTTATTGATTTTAGAGAAAGAAAGGAGAGAAACAAGGAACTGTTGTTCCACTTACTTCTGCATTCATTTGTTGATTCTTTCACGTGCCCTGGACCAAGGATTGAACACGCAACCTTGGTGCACAGGAACAATGTTCTAACTGACCTAGCTACCCAGCCAGTTCCCACCCTCCTTCAATTTTTATGAATTCTATCCCTGCCACACAATCCATAGGTTGTTTGCTTTTATGAGAATTGTACTTTTATGGCACACAGTGACTACCTGACAAATAATTCTATATCATGTTAGTAATTTTTTTAAATTTTTGATCAAAAGAGACAGCAGTGCTATAGTTCTGGGAAAGCAGTGAACCAAATGTTGAGAAATCAGAATTATCAAATGTCACTGAAGACAACATATCAAAGAGAAGTACTCAGTAAATTAAATGCCGTGTCTGACCATCTTCATTCAAGTTCAACCAAAATTATGTCCTTCATCTGTGAGTTTTCTTGTGCCTTTCCTGGTGGCCTGAAAATCTTTGATGGGAGAAACTACTCATGGCACTTCTTCAGTTAAGGAACATTTTAAGGTTTAGATGCATCCGTCTGGAATTCCCCAGGGGCAGGGAGCTTATATTGTATATAGCTTTTGGACAAGAGTATAATAATAGTTTTGTCACCCCGGACACAGCCAAAAATTTTCAAAGCATCTTGCTCTTGCTGTGTTGTTTTTCTCTTACAAGGCTTTTACATTTTGAAGAACGGTCACTAGATCATTAAAATTATTCACCTTTTATGAATTAGTGCAGATGAATTAATAGATAAATAAAAGCTACTTCTTAGTGACTACACCTCATGGAATACTTTAAAAAAAAAAACAACAGTGATTTCACTCTATTTTCTCCCCTAAAAGGCCAAGAAGGGATCTAGATGGCGTTACCTATACTAATATGCAGCAATTAAAAAGATATCCTTAAGCCATACTGGAAGAATTAGCACAAGACTCAGATATTCATTAAGCTATCTTTCTGGCACATCTCCAATTTCAGGTGGGAAAGAGAGGACCCCAAACTCCCAAATTGGAAAGTATATTTAGAAAGTCACCAATTACACTGTTACACTCTTCCCAACAGTAATGAATTGTTTCTTGGGTTACTGTCTAGTGACAATGCAAAGAAACATCTGTCAAAGGCATGGAAAACTATACAACTGCTTTTTCAAAGACATTTTTTTCTAGGTTAAAAAAAGATCAGCTGTCTAACCACAAAGCATCTGTTTCTTCACTGTTATCACAAAATCTGGAAAAGCAATTTGGGCTTGAGGATCACTTAATTGCCCCCTTGAAGCTAGAAAACAAGTTATTGTATCTTCGTCTGTCTTGAAAATTATTTGCAAGGCTCAAAATCACCTGTCCAGCTTTACCTCGACTTTCATTATCAACCTCAACTACTGTCATCCTAATCACCCCAAGTTTCGCTGGTATGTATCTGATCAAATACAGAATATGAACATGTGTGATTAGTTGACCTCATATCCACAGATAAAACTTCTCAAATCTTGGACTCTGGGCAATGGCTTTCCAATTTTAAACTCTAACTATGAAGGGCACTGGGCACACAGCAGGAACTGGATGAGTGAAACTGGAAGAACAGGCATGAAAACCAGAATGTGTTTTTAAGTTTTCAGAAAGACCACCCAGAAATTATTAACAAAATCATGGAGTTGTGCAATTGCTGTTTTCATTAAAAGTCAGATATGAATGAGTTTGTTGTTTTAGAGAACAGTTAAACTTTCTGTCATGACACTAACATGCTAAGGTACTGCCTTGACAGTGCAAAGAAATACCTGAAGTAAATGCTGGGGATACGGCAACGTCCCCCAGTAAGAAAGGATGCCAAGAGAACAAGCCCAACCCAAAAACTGCATGGGCATTAGGAAGCTTGACTTGTTCTCAGCCCTTTACCCACAAGGGACAGCAGCCAGTAACGGTTTGACTTTCCCAGAACGTGTTACTCCTTAAGATTAATTCATGATGAATATAAAACATCTTGAGAGTCGGTTAACTTCTAGTTCTTGAACTGTCACCACTAATTTTACTTTCTTTAAAGTGGGATTCTGGTTTGTTCTTGATAAGGTGGTCAGTTGATTGAGGATGGAATTTGACATAGGGTAGAAATTGGCTTTCAGGGAGTGAAACACAAACATCAGACACAAACAAGAACATTTTTATGTAATAGAGATACACAAACACACCTTAACTGTTAACAATGGTTACCTCTAAAGAGAGATGTGGGATGGTGGGGAAGGGCTGAAAAGGAACTTTCACTTTTTACTCTATATTAAAGGTACAAATAAAACGGCTATTTAAATTTTGGGTAGCATGAAGCCTTGCATGACTTAACTACTCCAAGTTGAAGACTTGTTTTAGTTTATACTGTACCTTCCCTCTGTCAACGATAATGTCCTTCCCCCCCTTTTTCCTTCAAATGAAAACCTATTTTAAATAAAGCACCTGTTCAAGTTAACTCCTGAATTTTATATATTAATCAGTCAACGGTAGCCCGAAAGTCATGTACTTCAAATGAATTGTAAGCAGAAAGCTTTTTAATTTCCTGATTCACACACTTAGGGAGATTCTGATTCTAACCAAGCACTGGTTTGCCTTAAAATTTTATGATTCTAATGAAGTCTACCAAACTGACCAGATATCTTAAGCGAGGTTTTATAGACAGAGGTTATTCAAAAAGGCAAAACATGCCCAGAGATGTGGCAGAAAACAAAGTCTGACGTAAGAGCTCCTAGTAGGTTGGTATGAGAAAAAAGCAAAAGTTGCAAAACATATAGATAGTAAGAATAATTCATGTAAAAATTTAAAACCCACGATACTATGACTTTCTAAAAATGTATATAAATGCATAGCAAAAAGGTAATTGAAGAGTATATATTAGAGCCCAAGAGTTACCACTTGGGAGGGGGTCCTCAAGGGCATTTTTACCATACCTATATTTTTATTCCTTTTCCTAGAATATATTCTTACTCAGATAATTAAATACAAAATGAAGAACTTTACAGTTCCAAGATGTTACATATAATGGTTTCCTTAAAATAGCTTGCTACCAAATACAGTTTAGCAAATACCACTGTTGTCTATTTTTCAACATTATTATACTTCATTCCTGGTATCCCTAAGTTTTTCTCATTGCTCCACAAAAAGTCAAATTTAAGGAAATCATACTAGCTTTTTCTTGAGTATTTGATAATGAAGAGATGACACAGATGCCAGGAAGTATCAATATAAAGGTAGGAGCCGATACAGTGGGAATCCAGTTCATGTAAGTAGGCAAGCCCATCTTTTGGCTTTAATGTGATGTATTTGGACACATGTGCAGGCTTCTGAGGAGGGCCAGAGGCTGTCTTACTGGGTTTACAATATAATAGTAACTTGTGACACTCTTTTATCTACCAGAGAAAATGTTGCAGTAGAAAAGTTAACACTCAAAAGTACACCCAGCTTTTCAGAAAAGAGATAATATATAAATCCCAGATAACGTGATACTTGTTTAGAAGTGAAGCATTTTTGCTTGATATTAAAAACTCTTAGGAGTATTTATATTTTCTTGAAAAGGGAAAAGCTATCAAAGGAAGATCTATGTGTAGCATGAGTTTTGGCGAACACCACTAAATATATTACTCTGTAGTTTATTAAAAACTACAGAACAGCAACATACTAGAATCAATGCCTATTATAAAATCAAGTAAATGTATATGTTCAATGAATTTCAGCTTTTAGTTATTAAAACCTAGGTAATGCATTTTGTCATTTAGAAAAGAATACCGGAGGATTCATTCAGTCTATATATCTTTAAACATTATTGTAAGGCTACGGCTGGTCAATACTATCTACACACGCTTGCGTAGAAGACCCCAATATTTTAAACGGTCTCCAATTACGTATTTCTTCTTTGTCACATTGTATCTATAAAGGACCTATGAAAACTGTAATGGTTTGTCACATTGTATCTATAAAGGACCTATGAAAATTGTAATGGCAAACAAGTTAAAAGATAAATTTGAAACGTTAGAGGCATGTGTCAAACCACGTCTAGAAACAAGTGGCAAGTATGGGAAAATGATATTATCTGGCGTGAGATCAATGATCTAGAACCTTTGTAGCATTTACAACACAGAAAATCACAAACTATGTATTAAAAAAAATAATTAGCATCACAATTCATTTTTTTAAATCTCCGAATAGTTTGGCATGGTGCATACCTCGCCTTAATTAGGAATTATGTGATAAAAGTAACATATTCTTCAAAATTATTTTTAAAATTGTTGGGTTACAGTTTCATATCTACTTAATTTCCATTGTACTCTTCACTATCGCTTCCCTAGTTCCCAAATTTTATATTTTATTACTAAGAATCTAAAAATGAATGATTCATTTTTCTTACTTTAATGCCTAATTAAAAGTAATCACTAAAAAGTAATACATGGCTAACATAAAAAAAAGATTTTAATTTAGCTCTAACAGTCATAAATTTAGGGTATTTTCAGGAGATAGCCCTAGAACAAAACAAACTCACTCTTGTTTTATCCAATAACATGATGCTTTTTTCTTTTCAGATTATTGTTTACCCCCAAATTGTTGTAATATACATTTTTAAAAACAATAATCTCCCTCTGTAATCACATAGCAAAACAAGGAGCAGGACAGCCACTAGCATTACAGAAAAGATTGTATACTTTTAACATAATATTCAGATATTTTTAATGACTATCCTAAACCAATTTTTAAATATACTAACTATATACACTTACTATTTGAAAAATACATTGTTTCTACCTACCTATTACTTTTAAGACATAACATGGTAGGTACTTTGTGTCTTCTTCCTAAAAGCACAATTACAAGGATAGGAACATAAAAGATATATTAGATATGAAGAAGTATCTGGAGAACTTCCTCACCCTTGGCCTAACATCTCTTTATCTTTCCTTTGGAAACATACTACAATTGATCAGTCTTTCATTACCATTTCACCCTATTCCTACCTAACGACTTTTTGGGGGGTCTTCAGAGCAAAGACAGGTATACGATATTATCTATTGTTGCTACTGAATTTAATCACAGGATAAAAAAATTAATAAAATGCTTGAGGTTAAGAAAGATACATAGAAAGAAACCAAGAAAGGAGGGGGAAAAAAACAGCAGGAGTGGTTATAGCCCACCAATAATTACGTGGCAACTCTGGAACAGAGGTTCCTATCTGGACTTTAGTGTCCAAATTCAGAATACAGTTCTCCAATTATTAGGTTTTATGGCTTTATTTTTTGGAATAAAGCTCAATTTCATTTCTATGTTAGAAAACCTATTTTACTCCAATGGAAAAAGAGCTTATTTCCCATCTACAACAGTGGAAATGGCAAGGCTTTTTTTTACTACTTCTGAAAGGCGGCCAAAGCAATTTTCTTCTACCGTTCTCATGATTCCCCCGCCTTCCCCAACCCCCTGCATAAGCACTTATTTCACAGGAAACCCAGAAACTACACAGAGTACAGTCACCCCATAAAGGACAATTTTAGCTTCTTTCCCTGACTTTCCCACCCCAGTATCCCAGACACACACAGAGGTCAGTGTGTTTAGTTTGGCAAGGACAATAATTAAAATGGTAAACCAAGGGCTCACAGAACCCTTACACTAATTTAATATTCTAACATCATAACATTAAGGTGTCAATTCATTCCATTTTTAACCCATTAGGGAAAGTTTAAGGTTGTTAACTTAATATATGGTAGTAATTCTTTAGTAACTATAACCTCTTTAAATCCTCGTAACTGTTCATGCTAACAACTTTATTGCATACTACTGCTTCTTATAAGAAGTAAATCCAGGGACCATTCCATTTTACCTTAGACATACATTTACTAGTTTTCCAAGCATGACAGAAATGGAAAAATATATATATTAAAACAAGAACAATTTATGTTAATTTCTACAATTTGTGTTTCTTCTGTGAGCTGTGCCTGATTCTATTAAAATGAACAAATTTAAGTTCAGTCCTATACTTAAGGGAAAAAAATCTAATGAGACTAATTTACAAAGTATATAAGAATATAATTTTTGTAACAAATCTTTCCAGTGTTTGCTGCAACTGCATTAAATGAAATGTTTCCCTTCACAGAAACTCCAAACAGCTCTTATAAAATTAAACATAACTTCTGTGTTCATCTCTGGGAAGCACAGAACAAATATGACTTGCTCACAAAGGATCTGAAAGTGCCATCTCAGGAGCGTAAACTACCACCACCTGCTGCATGAATGAGTCTTAGTGAGTGGCTTCTTTCTATCTGGGACTTCTTCTCTTCTCACACCAGCAAACCCATCTCCTGTAAAGCCTGAGAGAAACTAAAGCCATTGAAGAAGTGAAACTCAGCATGCTCCACTCAAATACTACTGAGATAACCATTCTAAAGCAAAATTGGCAGAAGTCACCTCTTTTATAATCAACAGACCAAAACAAAACAAAAAACCCCAACCCAAACCAAAAGGCAGATGCTGCTGTTCAATCATCAGATGTAATTACAGAGGCAAAAACATGACAACAGCAATAATTCAAGTAAAGTATATGTGAAAATTTAAACACGCCACTTTCAAATTAAGACAAAAGTGAAGGGAGCTATGATCTTTATATATCAGAGTCAAAAAGCTTAGGCATTATCATCAAATGTTAATCACTTTACAGTCATCAATGAGACTACTGTATATATTTTTGCACCTTGCGCTTGTAAAAGCAGATTAAAATATTTAATATGTAATGTACAATGTATTTTACCAGCTCAGCATACAAGATGTGTATAGATTATACCGAAGTAGTAGACAGTTAGGGGCCTGTGCAAAACCCTGCAAAAATAGAACTTCAGGTATCTGCTAATTAAAAAAAAAAAAAGAAAACAAAAACAGTTTGCTGTTTAGAAGTGATACAATTCAAACTACCACAAAATACAAAGGACTGCAAAATGTATACCATTCCAACAACATATATAAGTTATTAAATAAAGATTTGATTTAAAAGAATATAAATGAAGCCTTTAAGTAGGTCTTTTCTACATGCATATTAATCCTTATTAAAGAAAAAAATATGTAAAAAGGCCATTGGTAATTGCTTTGTTAACATTTGTAGAAAATGCCAATTCTCTGGTCACAAACTCCACTAAGTTTAGCACTTAAGGTCTCTGCAGTGTTATAAACGTAATTTAAAATACTGTTAATTCTATAATTCCATTGGTAAAATAATGTGACTTGGAATATGGCAGTCTTCATGTTGAGGGCAATGATCCACAGTTTGTTTTAATTTCTTAGGTGTGAAGAGTTATCCAGAAGAACAGCACCCTCCACCACCGCTCTGGACTTGAGGTTCATCATCAATAATCTGCACACCTCGCCTCGCAGCTCCTGGTTGACTGGAGCCATTGCCTTTTGCCCTCTCATCCACTTGTGCTGTTTCTATCATCCCTAAGAGAGGAAGAAAGCAGAAATTATTTAGGACTACAATCTTTCAATTTTCTTTCTGTAATTTCAGTATACCACCATGGCAGCCATTTCTGACTTTAAACCAACAAAGAAACTAAATATAATAAACATTTTGTCAGCTCACTAAATAGCTTTTCCTATGAGTTTAAAAAAATAATAGCAAGTTTATTTGTCCAGATGTAGAATGGCCACAATGACGTCAACAGAGAAAAATTTCTGCCTTGAACAAATAACTATACAAGTATAGTCCTTAAAATTTTCCAAATATACTTGTCAAAGTCTGAATTGTTGCAGTACAAGGGATAGTTAGGGCACAAGATTTATTTTTCAACTAATAATGCATATTTGAAATAATAAACGAGTTAATCATGAGGAACAATAAAGCTGGAGAATTCACACTATCTGACTTAAAGATACAGTAGAGAGTTACTCTAATGAAGATAAATTGGTGAAGGGAGAAAAACAGAGATCAGTGAAAGAGTCTAGATATAAATCCCACATATGTGGTCACTTGATCTTTGACATATGTGCCAAGATTATTCGATTAAGGATAATCTTTTCAAGAAATAGTACTGGAACTAAACATTTACATATAAAAAATAAACCTCAACTTATACTTCTTACCATATGCAAAAATTAACAAAAAATGAATTGAACATTCATTCATGTAAATGAACATGTAAAACAAAATTTCTAGAAGAAAACATAGGGTGAAATCTCTGAGAAAATCTTTGTCACTTTGAGTTAGGCAAAGATTTCTCATGTAAAGATCCCCCCCAAAAAAAATCATAAGAAAAACTAACAAATCAGATCTCATTAAAATTTAGAACTTCTGCCCTGGCCAGTATGGCTCAGTTGGTTGGAGTGTCACCCCATAAACCAGAGGGTCACAGGTCTGATTTCTGGTCAGAGCACATGCCTAGGTTGTGGGTTCAGTCCCATCAGGGCGCTGATGAGAGGCAACCAATCAATATTTCTCTCCTGGCAACCAATCAAGATTTTGCCCCACTCCCTAAAATCAATGAGTATGTCCTCAGGTGAGGATTAAAAATAAGTAAATATTTTAGAATTTCTGCTTTTTCAGAGACACAGTTAGGAAAAATGAAAATACAGTACACAGACTGTGAGTAAGCAATTGCAAAATGCATATGTGAAAAGGTGAGAAAACAAAAGGGCTACTCAAAACATAACAAGGTTCTTCAACTTGGGCCCAGAGACTACTCTTAAAAATTCTAACTTCTACTTTGTTTTAAAATTTTCTATTTTTGTGTGCTTTTAATGTATAAAATGTATTAGCATTTACATGTTCTTTATTTTATTTTTTATTGTTGTTCTATTATGGTTATCCCAATTTTTTCCACTTTTGCCCTCCTCCACCCGGCCCAACCCCCCACTCCCAGTCAATCCCCACATTATTGTCCATTTCCATGGGTCATTCATACATGTTGTTTGACTAGTCCCTTCCCTTTCTTTCCACCATTTGTTCTTTATTTTTAAACAAACATATGGGGAATATTCCAATTTTTAAATAAAGACATGTGACTGAAGTATGTATAAGCCAGATCAAGAGCCTTGGTACTCAAAGTATGGTCTGAGGAAGGCCCAGCACCATCACCACTTGGGTTAGAAAGAGCAGCTCAGGCCCACATCAGACCCATTTAACAAGGTCCTGAAGTCATCAGTATGTACAACAATGCTTCTCAAATTTTAGTGTGCATCAGAGTCATACAGAGGGATTGTTAAAACACAGATTCTGGGCACCATCTGATAGGGTCTCAAGTGACGCTGATGCTGCTGATCAGGGGACCTCACTCAGAAAATTACTCCAGAACAATTATGAATGGCTTTTAGATTTTCATAGAACTGAAATTTACTCCAAAGGTGTGTACATGTACATTTTTCTTGAGAGAAAAACCAGTTTCGTCAAATTCTCAAAAGTCTGATGTCCATAAATTCAAGGAATATAATTTGACAAAATCATTTCAATCCATTATTCCACAGACTTTAATTTTCCAAAGTATGGTAATGTATTTTACTGGTGATATGAGAAATGACTTTCAGGTTGTATATACACAATCATTTTCCGCCCTGGCTCCTGTGAACCAAAGGGTCGCCCATTTGATTCCCACTCAGAGCACAGGCCTGGGCTGCAGGCCAGGTCCCCAGTGGGGGCCACATGAGAGGCAACCACACACTGCTGTTTCTCTCCTCTCCCTAAAAATAAAATAAATAAAATCTTTAAACAATCATTTTCCTTTCTCTATTTAAATAACTTTTTAATATGGGAAATTTCAAACATAATATAAAAGTAGAAAAAATAGCATAAGGAAAATTGTGTGTTCATCATATAATTTCAACCATACCTGGCATTACCATTATTGTGATCCAAAATCATTACCATTATTTTGAATCAAACCCCATATACATAAAATTATTCTAATAATCTATAAAAGATAGAAACTCTTTTCTTAAAGTATAACACTATACTCACACCTAAAAATTTTACAAGAAAATATTTTTTAATTTTACTTTTTGATTGAGGTAACATTATATAAATTTTAAACGTACAGTATATTTTGATATATACTCTACTGTGTGCTCACCACCAAAAGCCTAGTTTCCATCACTTACAGATATCTGGCCCCTATGTCCATTCCTCCCTCCCACAGTTCCTACAATTACCGAATGTCACCAAATATCCGGTGAATGTTCATACAGTCCCAGTTGTTTCACAAACATTCTTTTTCACTACTTGGTCAAATCAGGATTCAAATAAGGTCCACCCACTGCAGCCAGTTGTTACATCTCTCAAATCTGTTTTAACCTATATATTCCCCCTCCATTCTTACTGTTAATAGTTATACATTTTAATATGCACTTAGCACATATCACATGCATAAAATTTCATAGCCATTAATTACTGCTTGAAATAGGGCTAAAGTAGGTATTTATAAGTGGATATTTACAAGAAATGAGTTAGAGAAAAAACATTAAGTAAATAACAGTACTGGTAAATGTGACAAATCATCAATATGATCATTAATGGAAAATGTAAAACATCACTTTAGAAATATTACCAATATTTTTTTAAAAGAGCCATTTCTAAACATACTAAATCTGAATATACCTACTTTTACAAAGGTCAAGAAAGAGTTCCTCAATTCCTTTGTTCTGCTTGGCTGATGTATGATAATGTTTTGCCCCCACAGATTCTGCATACCTTAAAAAAGAAAAATATCAGTGATCAATGTAAAAAAATTGTTTCATGTTTTTGCCATAAGTGCCATTTGAACTTTTCACAGCAGCAAATTTAGTAGTTTATTACTAATTAACCCATTTTTAGTACATTTAGAATTATACAGCCACTTAACATCTCTATACATTAAACCAAATTTTAAATGAGCACAAGTTAATAAGACTTAGTTTGTGTAAGTTAGTTTGGAACCTAAATATTTTTAAAGTTTTTGTGATACACTATTTGATCATGATAGTTTTCTTCTGCATCCCTTTATATTTTTTACTGAACTCAAAAAGAGAAGTGAGAGTGGATTATTTTTAAATATAGCCAAAAGTCTAGAAATTACCCATGTTAACATGCTTCACTGAGTTCAACAGCTCAGTCTATATTAAAATCTGAGTAATACCTCAACAGTAAGGCACACTGAGTGAAGGGAAAGACTTCTACTGTGAAGTGACTGTTGGACAGGGGGCCGTCAGGGGAGGGGGGCAGGGATAACACTTACAATTCTGCTTCTTGAATGGAAACATGTCTCTCCTTTTCCAAGTCTATTTTATTACCTAATTTGAAAAAGTAAATGCCAATCTTTAATGTCAATTCATTTTTTGTAACAAAATTAAGCCAATTCTAAATATACAATTGCCACTTTAACCACCTGGAAAAAAATACAAATCCCCATCAGACTTCTAAATGTCCTAAAATTATAAAGGTAACCCCTATGTTATGAGGTTTGATCATGGATGGCTATCAAGGTGAATGCCTCAATCTCCCTCAAATAATGCACAGCATTCGTGAAGGGGCAGTCAGTCTGTCAGAGAAAATAACTTTTCCAAAGAGATGGGCACTATTCCTTGATTTAAGATATAACAGAGACTAAGATTCAGTAGGAAACTGAGGGATAAACCTGTGTTTCTTAAGCAAGTATAAGCAGTCCCCAGTCAACTCAGAGTCAATTAACAACTAAACAAAGCCACCTTATTGTGGCTTCCACAAACATATATTAGGTGAGCCTCTTGGATCCTAAGAGTATTTTGATTTCATGGATAATATAAGCTGATTAAAGAAAGCATTAATTGTATGGCTTTTTAAGCACTTTGCCACCATAGAGGAGAAAACTATACTCGTTCTTTTAAAAACATGAGAGAAGTTTATATATGCACATCATGACTGAAAGGGTATTATGCTAAGTGAAATACGTCAGAGAAAGACATATACCATGTGATTTATTTCACTTATATGTGGAATCTAAAACACAAAATAAACAAAACAGAAACAAATGCACAGATACAGAGAAAAAAATCAATGACTGCCAGATGGCTGAGAAATTGGTGAGATGGGTGAAAAAGTGTTAAGAGATTAAGATGTACAAATTGCCAGTTATAAAAACAGTCACAGGGATGTAAGTACAGCATAGGAAATACAGTCAATAATATTATAATAACTATGTATGGTGTCAGATGGGTACTAGATTTATCGAGATAATCACTTCGTAAGTTATATAAATGCCTACTTACTATGTTGTACAGCTGAAACTAATATATTTTATGTCGCTGGTAAGTGAAAAATAAAGAAACATAAAAGACGTACACATCGCGCAGACTTAAAATTACTGAAAATAAAGGTAGCCCTCCTTAAACAAGAGAATCAGAGATGCTTAACAAATCATCAGAACAAAAGGGGACAAACTGCAAAATGCAAATTCCTTATTAAATATAGGAGATGATAGGTGAGTTGGCTAGACACAGCACGGGCTAAAGGTAATGGAAATAACAGGTAGGAATGGGGAAAAATACCCTAAGGCAGGACACTTCAAACAAGTATTTTAATTTTTTCTATCTGACTTAAGGGGGAGGGAGAGGAAACCTTATAAATATAGCCATTTTTGTTGGGACCTTAGAGAATCTAGAAGACAATTTCAGCACAGCACTGAAGTAAGGACCTAATAAAAAATACAATGCTTAAAAATAAGAAGTATAAGCCTTGAGGTTCTACATCTATGAAGGAGCTCAAATAATCTGAGCACCTAACTGTGAGAAGCTGCAATCAACCACTTGCCTCCATAGCCTAAGGATGATGAGAGGGAAGGAAGTAGCCTATGCTAAAGTTCAGCAGGTACCAACAAATTCAATAATGAACTCTTCCCTCTTGGAATAGTTACCTGTATACCTCGACAAGAAGACAGGTATTAGTTCTGATTTCCTACATTCAACTTTGCCAATAAAAAATTTAATTTGCTAAATATTATAGCTGATACATGTGATAGTCACTAGAGGAAAGCTGTTGTATGTATGCTATGAAGAATGCAAAAAGCACCACCTAGTGTCCAGTGGCTCCAACTAATAAAGGCACAACAGTTTGCCTCTTAGAAAAGAGACAGCAAGAAAACTTTCCTCCAATTAACTAAAATTATATGAGTTTTTTCTTAGATCTTTTTGCCTTTTTTCAAATTCCACCTGAATTATCAGTGTCTATTTAAAAAAAGAGGAGGAGAGGGAAAGTGGACAACAACCATACTGTCTCAAATGATTACTTGGGGAAAATTATTCAGTTTTATTAAATAACATTTTAAACTTAATGAACAGTCCTGTTATTAAAATAGCTATTTTAATAACCTATTATTTTCTTTTATTTATTTTTCCAGCATCATACCTTTTTTAAATTGTTGTTCTATCACAGTTGTCCAAATGTTTTCCCCAGGTGTCTCTCTACCGCCCCATAATTAAACAAAAATTTTAAAATCCCTCTTTGAAATATTTCTTTGAACAATCAGTATTCATAATGGATTAAACATAAACTAAGTCACAGAAACTGCCAGTTAGTGACAAATTTTTAAAGCTAAAAATCTTTTTAGTTCCTTTACTCTTAAAAGCAAGACAGTTAAAGGATTAAGGTTCTAAGACTCCTATCTGTTTTAATACTATGGTTCAGCTGACATAGAAAACTTTCTAATAGGCTTAAAATGCCTGAAAACAAGGAAAACCAACCGGAGTAGGCACCTACTTGAAAGTATAGTACTAGAAAGACTAGGGAAAAAAATTGGCTGAAGCTATTGGAAAGGAAGAAAAAAAGTCACCCTATTAAGAACAATAAAAACATTATCTTCTTTAAAAACACTATTTGAATTAGAACATGGAAGGAACATACCTACTGCTAAAAGAGGGCCTAATAAAGAACAAGAACCATATTTTGATTAGATTGGATGATGCCTGGCATGTTAGTAAAAAAACTTTCAAAAGCCTTTTAAATCTGAAGAAAACCTGTTTGTAAGTCCAGGTTCATTTCATAACTGTAAGACTTTTTGCAAATTATTTAACCTCTCTCAGTCTCGTTTTATACAAATATAGCTAACAAACTTTGCAGGGTTGATGTGAAAATACTGTAGAAAGCTTAGCTTGTAGTACAAATTCAATAAAGAGTAGTTATTAGTATTAGCCACATTTATCACAGTGAATGATCAAATGGAAACCAATCTTGTTATGAGAGAACTAAAGCCCGTAATAGATACTTTCTACCATCACCCTGCCGGCTTCATCTAGCTAACTTGGTTATTTAGTACAATGCTCTAGGAAATCTTCCCTTAACCCTCCACCCCCTAAACTTAGGTAGGTTTGCTTCTGTGCCACCACAGCCCTCCGTAATGCGCCACCTTCACAGCATTTATCATAATACATAATAGCTTGTTTTTCTCTCTCCCCCATACAGTAAGCTTTTAGCAGGCAAAGACATTATCTATTTTGTTTACTTATTCACTACACCACTCCTAAAGCCTGGTACATAGAAAGCAATGTATAGTATTGATTACGGATATGGGCTTAAAGAAGCAGACAGACCTGAGTTATAATCTTGAGTTTACCTACAACTAGTCATGTACTTTGGGAAGTATCAAGCTCTCTAAGCCCATTTCCCTGTGTGTAAAATGGAAATGGCAACAATACCTTCCTTGCAGTGTTGTCTGGAAGCTTAAATGAAATAATAAATGTGTAGTTCTTAGAAAAGTGCCTGGCACACAATAAACAGTATCTTATTGATAATAAATATTTTTAATATACGTACAAATGTTAAGGGCAGACTAAAAGCAAAATACTACTAACTAGAGCAACCACTAACAGTACTACTCAATGGATTAATTAAAACCTTGAGGGAAAAAGTCTGCAGCGAAGTATGGGGTTCTCAATTATTGGTTAACACATTATCAGAGGCTTAGATAAGGACCCGGAAGCCTCAGTATCTAATTTACACCCAAAAAGCTAGCAGATTATGTATCAGTCATATTCAGAGACATAAAATAAGTTAGAATTCCTACACTTGGGCTTAAATAACTTAATTATATAAGAACAAGATGGGAAACGCCTGACAAAAGAGTACTACTTATAAAAAAGGAATTCAGATACATCAGCCTCACAGTTGCCTTCGAAGGGCCGAAATAATTTTTGGACTGGATAAGTGTAATTACTCAACAACTGTTAAGGAGTTGGAATTACATTCAGCCCTTTGAAGGCAACCTCGAGGCTGATGTGGCCCCCGGTGAAAACGAGTCTGACAGCCCTGCTGTAACCCTCTATATAAAAGAGACATTGACTTGACATGGCTGACAAGTGTATACAATCATGGGCAACACTGGCAGAATGACTGGGGGTTTTAAAAAAAGAAAGCCATGTAAGTATACACTGGCTCAGCAATGTTTGGATTCTCACATCCATTTCAAGGGTAGAAGACACAGAGATACACTTAAATAAAGCCAGGAAAAAAATCAGGATGATGAGAACATCTGAAAGTTAGTTCAAATGAAAAAAATTGAAGACCAAGAATTTAAGACTGTTGGTGAATTATCTAAGCTCCAAAGGATTGAAAGGTTGTCTCATGTAAAGGGAAAGAAATATTTGTCAAATGCCTTCTCTATGCAAAATGTTTTCCAAATCATTATTTCACCTTCATAATAATTATGTGAGGATTATTTTGAAGTTAATAATAAAACAGAAGAACTACTATAAATAACACTATCAGCAATAAAATACTGCACTACTACTGAGAATAAAATAAAAATCGATAGGTGGAAAATAATGCAAATAATACAAATGTTCATCAATAGCAAAAGGATAAACTGTGGAATATTCATAGAATAAAGTATTAGCAAAGAAGATAAAATGAACTACACCCAAATACAAGAACATAGGAAACCTTACAAACATAATGTAAAGTCAAAGAAACCACACAAAAGAGTTCATACTACGCGATTACATTTATATAAAGTTCAAAACAAAACTAGGACATCAGTAAAAAGACAGTGTTTGGTGGGAGGTGATGGTGAAAGGAAGGCGGCTGGGGAGTGCTGGGATGGGAAAGCAGCGCAGGTGGGGCTTCTAAGCTATGGGTGATACGGTTTCAGTTAAATTTCTTAACTGATATTTTCCTTTTTTGGTAAATGGCCTGTCCAGATTCTTCAGATTCTGAATTACAACTAAAATTCTACGTAGTGTTTTGGGTGGTCCCAAAAGCTGGGTGGGTCAGGGCCTCCTCATGAGGTGGGAGCCAACTGTGTGAGCCAGGTTGATGGAGTCTCAGATATGACACCCACCTGCAGCCTCTGTGTTTCTGTTGTGGGAGAACTCAGGAATGGAAAAATGGCCTCTGCCAGCACTTCTGTGCGGGAAAAACCTGCCCCAGCTCCTGCCCTGATGCTGGGCAATTCAGCTCCTCCCCATATGTCCCTGATGTCTTTCCATCTGCTACCGCTACACTGGAGCTCAGAGGGAGTGAGTCCAGGTAGTCTATGCATGAGCCCTTGAACAGCAACTGCCTGGGACTCCAGAAGTTTCTGTCTTCCACAGCCTCAATCCCTACTGGTTTTTACAGCCAGAAGTTATAGGGATTTACTTTCCTGGCACTGGAGCCGTGGGCCAGATAGGCTAGTGTGGGGCTGCAACCCCTCGCTCCTGGGATATATCTCATGATTTTTCTAATATACTTATAAACATTTTATTTATTTATTTTTAGAGAGAAAGGGAGGAAGGAAAAGGGGCAGAGAGACATCGACTGTTTGTCTCTTGTATGAGCCCTGACTGGGGACTGAATCTGCAACCCAGGCATGTGCCCTCACCAGGAATCGAACCAATAACCCCTTGCTCTACGGAAAGATGCCCAATGAACTGAACCACACAGGTCAGGGTTCCCTCCTGATTTTTTACCCACTACACTTGGGTGTAAGACCTGCCTGTTCTATGCCCCCACCCCTCCTACCAGTCCTGATGTGGTTTCCTCTTTAATTCCATAGTTGTAGAAGTTCCATTCAGCTTGATTTCTAATGATTCTGAATAATGGTTGTTCTATAGTTTAGCTGTAATTTTGATGTGGTAGTATGAGGAGCCAAGCTGTGTTTACCTGTGCCACCATCTTGACTGGCAGACTAACTCCCAGCTTACTTTCTTTTAATATATTTTTTTGATTATGCCATTACAGTTGTCCCATTCCCCCCCTCATTCCCCTCCACCCTGTACACTCCCTCCCCCCGCATTTCCCCCTTTAGTTCATGTCCATGTGTCATATGTTCTTTAGCTTCTACATTTCCCATACTATTCTTGCCCTCCCCCTGTCTATTTTCTCCCCACTGTCTATGCTACTTATTTTCTGTACCTTCTCCCCCCTTCTCCTTCTCCCACTCCCCTGTTGCTAACCCTCCATGTGATCTCCATTTCTGTGGCTCCACTCCTGTTCTAGCTGTCCTCTTAGTTTGCTTTTGTTTTAAGTGTGGTTCTTAGTAACTGTGAGTTTGCTGTCCATTCACTGTTCATCTTTTGTATCTTCTTTTTCTTAGGTAAGTCCCTTTAATATTTCACATAATAAGGGCTGGTGATGATGAACTCCTTGAATTTGATCTTATCTGAGAAGTACTTTATCTGACCTTCCATTTCAAATGAAAGCTATGCTGGATAGAGCAATCTTGGGTGTAAGTCCTTGCATTTCATGACCTAGAATATGTCTTTCCAGCCCCTTCTTGCCTGTAAGGTCTCTAAAGAAATCAGCTGACAGTCTGATGGGAACTCCTTTGTAGGTGACTGTCCCCTTATCTCTTGCTGCTTCTAGGATTCTCTCCTTCATTTGAATCTTGGCTAATGTAATGATGATGTGCCTTGGTGTGTTCCTTCTTGGGTCCAACTTCTTTGGGACTCTCTGAGCTTCCTGGGTTTCCTGGAAGTCTATTTCCTTTGCCAGATTGGGGAAGTTCTCCTTTATTATTTGTTCAAATAAGTTGTCCACTTGTTGCTCTTCCTCTTCCCCTTCTGGTACCCCTATAATTCAGATGTTGAAACATTTAAAGATGTCTTGGAGGTTCCTAAGCCTCCTAAGCCTCTTCATTGTTTTCTGTTTGGTTGTTTCTTTCTTTCTTCTGGTCCACTCCCTTGATGTGAGTCCCAGTTTTCTTTCCATGACTATTGGTTCCCTGTGCACTTCCCTTTGTTTCACTTAGTGTAGCCTTCATTTATGTATCTAATTTGTGACCAAAATCAACCAGTTCTGTGAGCATCCTGATCACCAACCAGTGCTTTGAACTGTGCATCCGATAGGTTGGCTATCTTTTGGTCACTTAGAGGTATTGGCTCTGCGGATTTGATCTGTTTGAGCCATGTTTTGGTCTGGTGGCACCTGTTACGTATGAGGGGCAGAGCCTTAGGTGTTCACCAAGGCGGGGCAACAGAGTTGCTAGGTTGTGATGCTATATGTGGGGGTGAGGTCAGAGAAGGAGCAATGGTGCTTGCTCCACTCTCTCTTGGATTTTGGTCCCCTCTGCCACTTCCCACAAGCAAATTGGGCCCTTCTGGTGCTGGTTCCCAGGTGGGTGGGCTTGTGTACATTCTAGGACCCTGTGGGTCTCTCCAAAAAAACTCTCCTGTGAGGCTGGGAGCCTCTCCTGGCACCTCAACCCACGCAAGTTTTTTCAATCGGTGCTTTTAGGCTTTATTTCCTGTTGCTGGGGCACTGGGTTGTGCGGTTTGTCTCACTGCCCGTTTTTTGCCTGGTTTATCTGCACTCGAATGTGTGTCCACAGTCAGCCAACCACCTTGCGCGTCTCACTGGTTTTGTGTGTTTCCTCCCCGTACCCAGTTCTGCTAACCACCACCTCTTCCTGCCGGGACTCCTCTCCACTGGCTGCTGACTCTGCCCCTCTTACAGGTCTGGATGAACAGTTTGTTGTCGAACTTCCGTTCAGTTCAATTTTCTGTCTATTCTGGTTGTGTTTTTGTTTCTAAATCTTTGTTGTCCTTGAATCTGGTTGTGCGAGGAAGTACAGTATTTCCACCTATGCCTCCCAGCTATTTTTTTTAATGTTACATTGTAACCCTAGTCACGTAACAAACTCTTGAGGCTTCTTTGAGTATATGTTAGTCATTTATCTCTCTATTCTGAGGGATACCCAGAATATCAAATTCTCAAATATCCAGTTCTTCACTCACTGTAGCCACTTCCACTTGCAGTAAGTCCCATATACCACACAAATCCATGCCAAACTCACTAATAACTAGCTACAACTGTGGCCCCAAACTCCTACATAGCGTACTACCTCAGTACTCTGTTCTGATACATTCCTGCCATCTAGCCTAACATATAGCATCTAGACTAAAAAGCAGGCTTCCCTGACCTCTTATCCCAGACCCACACTCTGATCTGGAACTGTAAAGTTTACCAATCATTTAATGAAAACAAATTGCATGAAATGTAAGCTCAAATTAAAAACAAAAATTCTTAAGGCTAAAGGCAGAATTTCCACACATTCACCCTTCCATTCTATGTCCCTTACTAGAACTACCTGATTTCTCACAGGCCATGCTTACTCTATCAGTCATGTAAAAAGGAAGAAAGAAAACAGCATGAGGTTATTCAACATAAGGATTAATAACAGAAGCATACGAGTGAGATGGGATTCAACAAATGCCTCTGATACCTGACTGATATTGGTCTAGTGTACCTCCAGGGCCCAGCTTCCTCTATAAAGCACTCAGAGGGTAATGAAGGTTACATGAGAAGTCTACTGAATACACAGCACAATGTCTGGTACACTTTTTGCTCAATAATTATTTGTTATATCGTAGAAATAATAATCTAAAAAAAAAAAGGGAACCAAAGAGAAATTCTAGAACTCCAAGAGAGTTATAGAGTTCCATTATTTTACCAATTAAAAACATCCCTCCAGCCCTGGCTGGTGTAACTCAGTGGACTGAGCGCAGGCCTGCGAACCAAAAGATCGCAGTTCAATTCCCAGTCAGGGCACATGCCTGGGTTGCAGGCCAGTTCCCAGTAGGGGACTCATAAGAGGCAACCATATGTTAATATTTCTTTCCCTTTCTCCTTCTCTTCCCCTTTAAAGATAAATAAAGTCCTTAAAAATTTTTTTTAAAAACCAAAAAAACAAAAAAACATCCCTTCACTATAGTATCATGATCTACTTATACTGCTGGAGTCAAATTTGTCCTTAACTCAAAAATGTGTATACTTTAACGTACAGAAAAAGAACACTAGTGTAAGTCATTGGTTTTAATTTCAGTTCTTGAACTTTTTTTCTAAATAAAATCTTATGGTGAAAAACTAAAAGTCAAATTGAAGCAAGGCTGGGGCTTAAATAAAGCCTTAAATGTTTAGCTTCCCACTTGCTCCCCAAGGCATTACTTGACGTAGAGTTGAACTCCAAGAGAGTTATAGAGTTCCATTATTTTACCAATTAAAAACATCCCTCCATCCCTGGCTGGTGTAACTCAGTGGACTGAGCGCAGACCTGCGAACCAAAAGATCGCAGTTCAATTCCCAGTCAGGGCACATGCCTGGGAATAGAATGCTTCCAAATACTAAATTATTCTAAAATACTGTTCATGAAAATACTATTCTTCTTTCCTGATGTAATTTTAAAATGAGAGTTACTGGTTTACTATTCTTTTATGAAAAATTAAGCAAGTACAAAGGAGATTTAAAAAGTAATGATACTTACCAACTATACATAAACAGATTTCATTTCCCAACATTTTCCGTAATTCTTTGACCCAGTTTTTTACCTGTGTATATAAAAGAGTTAGCTAATGTTAAAACAAATTCTGTTCTAAGACTACCAATGCAACACCCCCAAATTTAATCAATATATTGTTGAAATACCTCAAAATTTGGCTAAAAGCTCATATATTTAGTTGTTACCAAGAATGATTCACTATTAAGATCATTTATTTCCAGATTAGATTGCAAACAAGGATGAAGGACAGCAGCAGGCACAGCTGAGGGTAAACTGGAATTAAGAAATTTAATCTTTTGGAACTCATGCTTTTAAAAATGTTGACTAGAATAAAACAGGATAAAAACAAACCTGGATACCCTCCTTTCATTTTTTTGTAATGGAATTATTTTGTTTGAAATATGAAAGGGAATTCATAATGGAATTTATCCAATCAAATTACACAGAACTTACATACCGTTCAAAAAAAATACACACACCTATAAGTTACAAGAATTACATTAGATATGTGATAACTACTGACTGTGCATCTGGTTTTATGATACAAACATAACAGGTCTACATTCCTATTCTCTGCAAGAATGTAGAGGAACTAACTCTGTAGTAAACCCCAAATCTTTATAAAATCAAAGGTATTCAATATCACCACCTTATCTCTCAGGATAGCTCCATCTTTGTTTCATTCACATGTGTATAAAGTTTTCAGAAAAGCATTTAACTTGCATCCCTAGTTGATTTCACATAAGAAAAATGTAATAGTGTTGATACAAAATGATGTATTACTCTACTCTCCATGCATATAGTATCATAACCTACTAAATCTGAACAGTTAAAAAATGTGTTATCACCTCTAGTAAGATCCCCTTCCACAGGCATTCTGCTCATTACAGCATACATTCTGTGGTGAGTTAAGGATGGTCACAAATTCTTTGCCAATCCTATCAAGAGGTACAATCAATTTCCCCTCCCTTTGAATCTGGGCTACCCTTGTAACTTGTTTTGACCAAGAGAAAGTAGGAGAAGTAATGCTGTGCCACTTCTAGATCTCAGCCTTAAGAAGGCCTGGCAGCTATATTTTTGGGACCCAGTTGTCACATAAGAAGCTTAGCCCTGGCTGGTGTGGCTGAATGGACTGAGTGCCGGTCTGAGAATCAAAGGGGTGCCAGTTTGATTTCCAGTCTGGGGCACATGCCTGGGTTGTGGGCCAGGTCCCCATTATGGGGAGAACCAGAGGCAACCACACATTGATGTTTTTCTCCCTTTCTCCTTCCATTCTCCTCTCTAAAAATAAATAAGTAAAACCTTAAAGAAATAAAAAGAAGCTTAGACTAGAATATGGAATAATGAGAGCATGTGGAAAGAGTCCCAGAAGATGAGGCCCCAGATGGAGTGAGAAATTATATGGAGAACCAGGCTGCCTTGGATGGTCCCCACCCAGCTAAATTCCCAGTTCAATGTGGCTGCAGGAGTGACTCTGCTGACATCAAACAGAGCAGAGAACCCACAAAATCATAAGAAATAATCATTTTAAACCACAAGTTTTGGAGGTTTTGTCATGCAGCAAGAGATAAGTGGTCACTTTTCAACCTATAAGACTCAAACTTTCTCTTAATAAAATACCTAAACCACTATTTTACTGCAAAAAGGCAGGAAGGAATAACAAATAGCAACAAATAGCAGCCAAAATAATTTTTTTTAAATATCATTAAATCTGCAAGCTGTTCCATTTTTCTACTCCTTGAACTAAGTTTTTCCACATGTCATTCATAAGACTAATATGTATCTACTTTGCCAGTTAAATACTGGGAAATCACGTTTTTGATTTTTTAAATAAAAAATTTAAATTTTTAAATAAAATTTATTTTTAAATAAAAAAAGAAAAAACTAGAAAGGCAAGCAATTTCAACATAGACACAATTATAACTCACAGCAAGATAAGTTTTTGCTCTGGAAATTACCCTTTTCCGTTATACACCCTTGACAAATTCCAAAGGGGCTTTCAGAGGAAAGGTCAAATGAGTAATCAGTCACTATCCTAATGGTGATAACAATTCAGAGATAAGTTTAATGGTAACTCATATTTGGTTCCAATCAACCTGAAAAACTCTGTATTTTGGTATATGTGTAAAGAGGGGTAAAAAAAATGGAGGCGCTTTTAAAATAAACACTTTTATATTATCCTTTAGAAAATTCAGTGAAGAGAGAGATTACATTTAATTCTCCTTTTTTCTCTTCACCATTATGAAGCCTGTGCAACCACACCAAGATTTCAGGTGTCTAGCATGTATATAATCAAAGAAATGTATAATTTTGCTTTATGTTTTTTGGTTAGAGTATTTCCCTTTCCTAATATCTAAGAAAGCCAAGTAATAAACTATTCATATGGTTAACATAAATTAAATACTCCATTAAAAAATTTTGAATGGTCACCATTTATACACAAGCTATACCTTTAAAACCCAGACTAATCACATTAGTAAACAAATGCAGGTAATGGAAACTTGAAAAACTAGTGTTCTACACTAAGTCATCTACACATAAGTAAATAAAATACCTTCTGAAAAGAATCTTCATCTGTTATATCATAAACTAAAATAGCTCCATTTGAATCTCTGTAGTAAATTGGGCCCAATGCATGGAATCTCTCTTGACCTGCTGTATCCTAAATAAAGCAACAAATACTTATTAGATCAGAAAAAAAATACATCTGCTATTGCAACAACAGTAAATTTTTGACTAAAAGTTCATGACCACTAAAAGTAGGGCATGAAGGTATAGATAACCCCAAAACACACAAAGAAACAAAGCAGGTTACCAAAATGTTTAAAAGTCAAGTTATAATCAATATTTAATGTTTTACTGTTATACAAACAGTAAAACCATCTCCTCCCACCCATCTTCCTCCCCAGCTATTTTTCTACCCCCACTAAAAAAAAAAAAACCAGTTCAGTTATCTGGGGGTCAGAATGGCCAAGATGGCATTATACACCAGGAATAGGGTTGGCCCTAAATTTAGGCTCCCAACACAGAGGGAAGGGACAAGGAAAGAGAGCATGCTCCAGGATCACGTGCTAACTGCTATGTTACTACATTAGCCTCACTCTATCTCCATTAGCCACTCCCTTGGAAGACTGGAACAGAAACATGAGAAATAAAGGCCAAGCTGCTATCCACCCACCCTGTCCTTTCCCTTCTATGACATGAATCCCTCTGAGTTAATCATCATCCAGATGAAAAGTTATTATAGAAATATTCATGTATATAACTGTATTCGAGGTATAATTATTGGCCATCTTTTTTTTTAACTTATTAAAAGAAGTTTTGGCTAATCTTCAGTTAATTTAAAAGAAAATCCAAATTTTCAAATCAGTATTCCTTGAACCAATTAGTTATTAGAGTACCAAGAACAGTAGAGCCCTTAACTCATACAATTGAAAAGGTTAACTTACCCATATAGCAAGGTTTACTCTCTTCCCACCAATATTTAACTTCTTTGTTAAGAATGATGCCTAAGACAAGAGAGATATACATTAAACAATGTTTCATACAAAATAATGTTTCTGAACAACTATAGATTAATACATCATCTCAATATAAAACTCAAGTTATCTGGGAGAAAAAGGAAATCACTAAGTTTTTATTAATGACTAAACAATTTCAGGAGGACTTCCACCAAGATGGAGGCATAGGAGGAAGCACTGCACCCTCTCCCACAACCAAGTTTAAAAACAACAAAGTTTTAGCAACAAAAACGCAGCCAAACCACAGAAAACTGAACTACGCGGAAGTCTGACAACAACAAACCTTTCAGCCAAACCAGTAAGAGGGACAGAGCCAGCAGCAGAGCGGGGTCAGGCAGGAAAGATCCACCAGATCGACCCAGGCTCGCCAGCAGCCGTAGGCGGATCCCAGGTGTGGAGAAGCGGGCAGACCCACTGAGGGCTGACCACAGTCACACATTTGAGCGCAGAAAAACTGGTGAAGGAGCAAAGCGGTGAGACAGACCGTGCAGGCCCCAGTGGCGGAAAGTGGCAGAGGGGACCGCCATTGTCCCTCTCTGACCCCGACCCCACATACAGTGTCACAAACCAGCAACCTGGGTGGCCTCTCTCTGACCCGCCCCCACATATAGTTTCACAAACCAGACACCCGGGTGGCCCCGCCCTGGTGAACACCTCCTTGTAAGTAACAGGCACAAACAGAACAAAACATGGCTCAAAAACAACTCAGAGCCCCAGAGCCAATAAATCTAAGAATTGAAGAAATAGCTAAACTTTCAGATGCACAGTTCAAAACACTAGTGATCAAGATGCTCACAGAACTGGTTGATTTTAGTCACAAATTAGAGGAACATATGAAGGCTAAACTAATTGAAATGAAGGGAAATGCACAGGAAACCAATAGTAATGGAAAGGAAACTGGGACTCAAATCAATGGAGTGGACCACAAAGTGGAAAAAAAATGATCGAACAGAAAAGGATGAAAAAACAAGAATTAAAAAAAATGAGGAGAGGTTTAGGAACCTCCAGGACATCTTTAAATGCTCCAACATCCGAATTATAGGGGTACCAGAAGGGGAAGAGGAACAGCCACCAATGGAAAACTTATTTGATCAACTAATAAAGGAGAACTTCCCCATTCTGGCAAAGGAAATAGACTTCCAGGAAATCCAGGAAGCTCAGAGAGTCCCAAAGAAGTTAGACCCAAGAAGGAACACACCAAGGCACATCATCATTACATTAGCCAAGATTAAAATGAGAGAATTCTAGAAGCAGCAAGAGATAAGGGGACAGTCACCTACAAAGGAGTTCCCATCAGACTGTCAGTGGATTTCTCAAAAGAGACCTTACAGGCAAGAAGGGGCTGGAAAGAAGTATTCCAACTCATGAAATCCAAAGACCTACATCCAAGATTGATATATCCAGCAAAGCTTTCATTTAGAATGGAAGGTCAGATAAAATATTTCTCAGATAAGGTCAAATTCAAGGAGTTCATCATCACCAAGCCCTTATTATATGAAATGTTAAAGGGACTTACCTAAGAAAAAGAAGATAAAAAAGATGAACAGTGAAAGAACAGCAAACTCACAGTTACTAAGAACCACACCTAAAACAAAAGCAAACTAAGAGGACAGCTACATCAGCAACGGAGTCACAGAAATGGAGATCACATGGAGGGTTAGCAACAGGGGAGTGGGGGGAGGAGAAGGGGGGAGAAGGTACAGAGAATAAACAGCATAGACAGTGGGGAGAAAATAGACAGGGGGAGGGCAAGAGTAGTGTGGGAAATGTAGAAGCTAAAGAACATATGACACATGGACATGAACTAAAGGGGGAAATGTGGGGGGAGGGAGTGTGCAGGGTGGAGGGGAATGAGGGGGGAATGAGACAACTGTAATGGCATAATTAATAAAATATATTTAAAAAAAGATTTTAAAGGGAGAAAAAACAATTTCAATGAAGACATTACATTATAACTTAATGTAAGAAAAACATATTTGTTTTATGAATACATCACGAAAAATACAAAGAAAATTACTAATAAAATACTTTTTCTTAGTTTTCCCCATAAAAATTTTGCTACAGCATTGAACTTGATACCACCTTTCTCAATAGAGAAAGAATCTAAGAAATTTCTAAGATGAGATCAAAGAAACATTTACTGGTAATTTACTTAACTGTATGAATACCAGTATTATTTTAAAATGTTCCTGCAATTATTTTATAATTCAATTGTTTCATCTATATCTAATAATTTTCCTAGGTACAAATGTTACAGAAATGAAAATAGTTCCAGCCTTCGAGAAGCATATAGTCTATTGCAGAAATAAAAATGTACAGAGAATTATAATACTATACTGTTAAAATGAAGGGTCTTGACAAGTATACTTTGGGAGGGGTTCAGAAAGGAAATATAAAGACTGCCTGGGTGAGTCCAAGACAGTGTAAAAGAACTGGTGATGATCCTCACTTTACTCATAGTGCGGGTTTTCCTGACAGATGGGTGAAACCACTGAAGCCTGAAAAACATGACTGCCCACCTCCTGGGGAACTCCAAATGGTAAGGTCAATGCCAGAGATGAGACTACATATATAGGGAGAGACTGAATGAATAAAAAAAGTCTTTCAATTCCTTGTATAGAAGTATGGACTTTCCCTTGCTTTTCTTAATGAAACCTATTCTAACATATTAGACATGAATTTTTTTAAATGTATACTATAGTCAGTCATAATTGGAAAATGCTGCATATTGCTGTGTCCCCTTTGTATATTCACAGTGCAAATTAGCACACTAGGATACTTGGTGCCAAAATGAAGACTAACTAATCGCATTTTTACAAGCATTCCCCAAACTCATTTGACCTTTTCTCCCCAGAGAAATGCTAATTTGTCCTAAGGAATATATGTTAAGAAGTAATACTGTAGCCTGGCTGGTATGGCTCAGTGGATTGAGCGTGGGCCTGTGAACCAAGCAACCACAGTTCAATTCCCAGTCAAGGCACATGCCTGGGTTGCAGGCCAATTCCCAGTTGGGGACACATGAGAGGCAACCACACATTGGTATTTAGCTCCCTCTCTCTTTCCCCTCCCCTCTAAAGATAAATAAATAAAATCCTAAAAAAAAAAAAAAAAAAGGAGGTAATTCTGTTGACAATGGAGACTCACTAAAGGGTTTTTAAGCAGTGGGGAAGTATAAAACCTATACTTTAAGAGAATGACTTTAGGATAGGAAGGAAGGTTGGACTGGAAAGGACAGGAATAGAGCTGGGACAGTGGAGGCCATTACAAAGCTGGAGAGGAAAAAAATGTCCTAAACTAAGTCCATGAAGACAGAAAAGAGAGAAGAATCAAGAGTAACTGAAGAAACAAAATCAGAATCCAGAGTCAGCTGACAGATTTAAATAGAAATAGAGAGCCAAGTTCAAAGCTATAACAAGAGAGTCACATGTAGGTATATCTATATAGAAGAAATTGCAGCCCTGGCTGGTGTGGCTCAGTGGATTCAGCACCGGCCTGTGAACCAAATGGTCACTGGTTGATTCCCAGTCAGGGCACATGCCTGGGTTGTGGGCCAGGTCTCCAGGTGGGGGCGGTGTGAGAGGCAACTACACAACACATTGATGTTTTTGTCTGTCTGCCTCTCTAGCTCTCTCTCTCCCCCTTCCCTTCTCTAAAAATAAATAAAATCTTTAAAAAGTAGAAGAAGAAATTGCAGAGAAAAAAAGGTACAATACATAAAACCTAGGATGGTGAATTATTACTGAAAGAGAAAGCACCTCCATTTCAGTATGGGCTTTCTGCTGTATCCATATAAAGGAAAATTAACACTAAGAAAAGGCCGCTGGATTTAGTGATTAAGGAATCCACAGATAGATATAAATGGCAGAGCTGAGATCAAGTCCAGGAATGGCTGCCTTAAAGGCCCTAACTATACTACCCAAGATATTTTATCAAATGAAACAATAAAGATTATACAGAAAAGGTACAAAGTAAATTAGATGGCAAAATAATGAAAGAAATAACTTAGGAAGCCCTGGCTGGTGTAGCTCAGTGGATTGAGCGCGGGCCTGCGAACCAGACAATCGCGGTTCAATTCCCAGTCAGGGCACATACCAGGGTTGCAGGCCGGTTCCCTGCAGGCCAGTTCCCAGCAGGGGACGCATGAAAGGCAACCATACATTGATGTTTCTCTCCCTCTCTCCTTCCCTTCCCCTCTAAAGATAAATAAATAAAATCTTAAAAAAAAAAAAAAGAAATAACTTAGGAAATGAGAAGACCAAATACATGTCATGACAATAAATGAGAACAAAAGGACTTTTTCCATTCATTGCAGCATTGGGACTAAGAATCCAAACTTTGAAGCAGAACTTTGTATTTGAATCTGTTTTGCCACTTATATTAGCTGTATAATTTATTTGAACTCAACCATTTTCATGGTTTCATTATGAATGCTAAAGAAATTCAAGATCTGAATCCTATCTAAATATTTAATTTATGTAGGTCAACTTAAGTGCCTTTCAAACGTATTTAAAATTAAATGGGTCTTCTCTCCAAAACTGATTTTCCATTACAACTTTAGTATTTTGATCACATTCTCCAGGTCACCAAGGTTTCAAATCTCAGTAAAACCACCCCCGAATATTCTCCCTCCCTGTCATTCCATATTTCCCCCCAAACTAACAAACCTTGGGTTTATTATTTCCTCTGGAGATCTATGACCACCAGTCTCATATTGTTTTGGTATAAATACCTTTGGTCTTACCTCACACTCTGGCCTACATGCCAAGTTATCTTTCCAAAGTATCAGTGGCTTTAAAAAATCTTATCATAACTTATAACAGGGGTCTATAATAAGTTTTTTTTTTTAGTAAGTATGCCTGAACTACATCCCTACTGGCAGCTAATGTACAATAATTTGTTATGCGTTTTGTAGGGATTTTTCAGCAGAGGGGAGTGAAAGTCTAGTCCCCTCTGAAACTCACCACCACTCTCCCATGGAGTTTAAGGGA